ATATTTTTATTATGAACACTTTATAATAACCATAACATAAACACCGTAGATACTATTAATAAAATCCAGGAATTTATATCGCGCAGAACGTGTGCCAACTCAAATAAAACGTGAGGTGAATATATGAATTTCTATAGTAACCTTTTCCGACCTCCGTCATTTATAAATGATCAATGAAAGTGTGCTGCTAAACGTATCCGCGTTAAGGTAAGGCCTTCGTTATTGATATTAATAATCAACTAAATGGTGCTAATTGACTTGGCTGTTTATTAGATATGTGGGACGGTCCTCCGCTTTTCGATTAATATTTCAGAGATGGCTTCCGATCCGATGTAATTTTAATAGGAAAAGGATGATACGTCACTTTTTTTACTTTCCAGGGAATTGCACGAAACAGGCATAATACGATGGGATGATGAGTTTAATGAAATTAATTGTTAGCTATTATCAGTTTCAAAATTGTTATTGTTATTTCATTCCGATGAGATAGCATTTTTCGTTAGTCTTTGATGTAACAAAAAAATTGTACAAAAATCGTGGAATGTTTTTTAAACATTTTGAAGGTATGTAGTTTTTATGACCTATTAGGATTGGCCAGTCATTATAGCTTTTTTTCGGGAAAAAAATACTATTAGAAGTTTTTTTTGCGGAAACGTGTTATAAACAAAATATCAAAAAATCAACTCGAGACTAGTTGGGAAACTTTTTTAAAACATTGGTCAAAGTTATGGAAAAGTGGTTCTTTGACTCGCTTAAAAAAACTGTTATTTATAGAGAAAAAAGGTTTATACAAAAAAGGTAGGTATTAAATAAACCTATAAAATAAGACAAGTCCGATTAAGTTCCGATAATTTGTTTATGCGCAAGAGCTCAAAAATTGTCGAAAATGGCCGTTTTCTTCAATTGCAAATACAATTTTCATCGCAGACACTTGTAATTTAGGATTTTTGAAGGTCTTTGCACCCTAATAAGTGGTAAAAATTTCAGCCCGAAAGCTTCATTAGTTTGGCGTTGACGTAATTTGTTATCTAAGAAGATGCTATTTTCAATTGATTTTTCCCAAGCTCAAAGGCGTTGTAGAGTTTCGATCAATAGTTGTTTTTGTACCTAAATAGTTGTATTGACATATGCATTCACTGATAACTTAATTTTTCAAATTTAATTTGTTTAAAAATGACTGAAAAATTGTTAATATTTATTAAATTGTTAAGATAGGTAATTATTATAAAATGAAATAGTAACGTCTATAGTTTAGTTAGTACAATTTTTCTTCGAATTTAAAAAAAGATCGTTGTTCTAAGTTGATTAGAAGCTGAGACAATTTTTTTTTTTATTTAATCGTAGTGTCCGTAATTATTAAGAGCCGAAATTTGGAGGGAGTATACATTAAGAGCTATATTTTCATATCCTACATTAACATTAAGGTGAATTCAACTATTTAATTGCAAAAAAGGAGATAGCGGCGATAGAGGTTAAATAAAAAATTAAATCTCGAGTTGAAATAATGTTAATACCATAGCTTCAATGCTCATGAATTTTCGCGATACCACAAATTAAAAAAAGAATCATCTCGATAGATTCATTATTAACTGAGATATGGCTCGATTTGAAGCCGCTTGATCATTTTCCTGCGCGCAACCGGGCGCGCAGAGCGCATGCTCCGCCTCGCTCTCCCCACGCGTTTGCTAGACCGAGTAATAGAACGCATCGGCGCCATCTTCTTTTTTTTAATTAAATAGTTGAATTCACCTTAATATTAATGTAGAACATGAAAATATAGCTCTTAATGTATACTCTCGCCAAATTTCGGCTCTTCATATTATTAATTAAGGTCACTGCGATTAAATGAAAAAAAAATATCTCAGCTTCTAATCAACTTAGAACAACGATTTTTTTTTTAAATTCGAAGAAAAATAGTACTAACTAAACTATAGAGGTTACTATTTCATTTTACAAAAATTACCTATCTCAACAATTTAATAAATATTAAAAATGTTTCAGTTATTTTTAAACAAATTAAATTGGAAAAATTAAATTCTCAGTAAATGCATAATTGTTAATACAACTATTTAGGTACAAAAACAACTAATGATCGAAACTCTACAACGCCTTTGAGCTTGGGAAACATTAATTGAAAATAGCATCTTCTTAGATAACAAATTCCGCCAACGCCAAACCAATGAAGCTTTCGGGCTGAAATTTTTACCACTTATTAAGGGTGTAAAAAGCCTCAAAAATCCTGAATTACAAGGGTCTGCGATGAAAATTGCATTAATTATTAGCAATTGAAAAAAACGGCCATTTTCGACCATTTTTTAGCTCTTGCGCATAAACAAATTATCGAAATTTAATCGAACTTATCTCATTTTATAGGCTTATTTAATACCTACCTTTTTTGTATAAACTTTTTTTCGCTATGAGTAATAGTTTTTTTAAGCGAGTCAAAAAATCACTTTTCCATAATTTTGACCATTGTTTAAACAAAGTTTCCCAACTAGCCTCGAGTAGATTTTTTGATATTTTGTTTATAACACGTTTCCGAACAATATTCCGCAGATAAACTTCTAATAGTATTTTTTTCCCGAAACAGGCTGTTTCATGTCTATAATGACTGGACTATGCATAGGACACAAAAATGCCACAAATGTATCTCAAAAACTGTACTGTTAACTGACATGTAAATAATGAACTTAAACTATAATCATGGATTTTTATAACGAATTTAATTGAAAATAGTCCTTTTTCATAATACTTTCATCTAAGAATTTTTATATGATCACCCGATATTACAGTATTTTTTTAAAACATGGCGCCAAACTAAAGTAATGGGAAACATTTTTGCAAAAGTTTCCTATAAACATGAACACCAAAACGTTTAGTAAAAGAGTTATACAGGGTGATAAAAATGAGCTGTTAAATACACCCTGAGTATCGTCACATACAGGGTGCCCTAGAAATGTCAACCAAGCGTTTATCTCGTCAAAAGAAGTAATTTTTGTCTAATAATTTTTTTAGAAAATTTTACATTTTTGTCTGGTACTTTGTACCCATTAAAATAAAATTTAAGTATGTATTTTAAAATAGTTATTTTTACTGTTTTATAAAATATGCGTAATAAAATATAAATATAAATAGGTACTGAGATTTGAAATATTTTTAAAAATTATTTCAAGTTTTTGAAAAAACGTATGTTACTATTTTTTTAAAGCACTGTGTTTGGTCTGTGAATCTCAGTGCTAATGATTTCTGACGTTGACCCAGTTTTGGTGAACTACATAATATCAATCCACCTGATGTGATGACAACGGGTCGCGACGAAGTTTTTGAAAAAATAAATTAAGTTATGCGTTGCTTGTAATTGACAAAATTTTGGCACTTATTTCTGGGACATCATGTACATAAGTCAAAGCAGTTAGACGCCGATGTAAGCGAAGTGAACCCCGTCGTCAGCGGAAAACCCCTTATTCGCGTCCCGCGGCGGTCATCAGTCGACTTCGACCACCGAAAGAAACGAATTTGAGGCAGCGCGCAGAAAAAAACGACACCTAATGTCTCGAATCGGAACGCTGTCTCGCAACGCGGAAGATTTTTTTTCCGTGAAGATTAATTCTTGTCCTAGCGAGATGTTTGATCGATTAGGACCTTCGGCGGTCTACTTATTGTCGAATCGTGCCCGGAATGGTATTCCGGGGGATCACGCGATCCGGGTCGGGGGATTATCTAGTTTCGTATCGTTTTGTACGGCGGCGGCTTGGACGGAGCGGGTTCTAATCTCGGCTTATGTCGGCGTGGAGTACGCGAAGTAGATGGTGGATGGGCTTTTAACGCCGTTTATTAGGTACGTGTGCTTTTAGAATTGCAAGAAACTTCTTAATGTGACGTACTTTTCATTAAAATGTTCAAGAAGTAAATTTTTCAATCAAGTACTATGGAAGTCACTGTCTAAAGTTCAACAAGAATGGAAATGAACATAAGGGCGGGCTTAGGAGTTCTGATGGCGGGTTAGCCACCACAGAGCCAAGCCTGAGAACAACACAGGTGGGTCAAAGATTCCTAGCTAAAGCTGAGGAGGTGCAATGGAAGTCTGTAACTGGTGTAAAGATGGATAATTTTCAAGTATTTATTTTTTTTTTTAATATAAAATATATTACACATTTGATTAGATAATATCCCAAAAAATATTGCAATTTATTATTGGAACAAAAGTTATATTTAAAAAAAAATGTGGCTCAAACCAAATAAATAACAATGACATCAAAATTTTTAATTTCTTATGAGACAATTGAAATTTCTACATCAATGTTTTTTTTATTATTTTTGTTGATTACATTGTATTTACCGTTATCCTACTTCAAACAAAAAATTTCAATAAATGCCCCCAGTATATCTGCCACAAGTTGATAGATTTTTATTCCAAGTAACGGAATTTTTGCCTTTCATTTATAAAATCTATAGCCCGAGTTTCATTAATTTACCTCGAATATTTGCAAAGATATTGAGATAAATATATTTTTTTTAATTTCAACACATCTCGAAAACCATCGGCTTTAAACCCTTGGGTCATTAAATCTCTTTGATCTAAAATATTCCTAGGAGCGACCTGCTAAAGTTATGACACGGACTTAAAGAAAAACCACCCTGCAGAATGACTTAATAAATACAATTTAAAAAATCTATCACCCTATCCGACCCGCAAAAAAAAACAAGCGACCAGAAATGATCATTCCTATGCCTTGAGGGTGAGAGTGCGTAAAGTAAATACAAGCCCAAGTGGGATTACACCCTTGGAACGTTTGTCCGGTCCCGACATTCTTAAATTGGTTTCTACCTCTGCTATAGAAAGATTTTCGCGCTGAAATTTGATTTTGCCCGAGAGTGGCTGATATTAGGCACGTTCTACAAACAGTAACACCAAGTTTCAGTGCTAAGTATACATACATGGAACAACATAAACGAGCGAAATAATGTCGACGAAGGTAACGGGAAATTGTGGTACTTACCAATTAGCAGTCTCAGTCAACATTATGGCTCCGTTGCTCTTTTTCTAAAAAAAAGCGGGTAAAATGAATATATTTCTAACAATTTTTAATTGAATATTTAATATAATTCAAGTATTATTATAAAGGATAGTTTTCCCAAAAAATAAATACGATCATTAGGTACAAAGTGTTTTAAATAAAAATCATAAAGGCAGCGCAAGATTTCCGAGAACCGACATCCTACCCAAGATCGCCCGGGTTTCGAAGCGTTCCCGTTAATGACGCGATCGAACGTCGACTTTGACCAAAGTATTATTCAAAATCTAATTCGTTGACTCCGCTCACCATCCAACCACAATCCTAAAGGAAGAACAAGTTGCAAGCAAATTAGAACGCGTTTAAGTAAAAATTACTGGATCTCAGAGATAGTGCCAGAGATTTTTTGCATCTTAATAAAAATTGATCAAAACGCATCGTTGGCAAATTTCCGAAAGGTCAGTACTGCCAACTACGTTATGTACGCTTTGCAATAAAATATACTTATAACGCATATTGAGCTACAAATACAGTGTATTGCACTTCAAATGAATACAGAGCTACAATATCCTTCACAAGAGGGATAAGAAAAAACAATTTTGACTATTCCACCATTGACGCCATCTTTGTGCACTAATTGGACAATATAGTGTGTAGTCTCGATCAAAATCTGACATTGTTAGAAAGAAAAACAAAACAAAATTAATTCTGATTAGATGTAAATACCTGAAATATTAAAATTATGGAAAAACAAAGCCTTTCAACAAGTCACAATATTTTTTCTTCATCTCCCTTATAAAGGAAGTTGGTTCTGTATTCATTTGAAGTGAAATATAATATGTACTTCCTAACGAGTTTTTTTTTCTATATTTCACCGGCGCTTCCGCCATTTTCTCGAAAATATATTAATGTTCAAAGTTAACAAAGGATATGACATTTGTAAATTAATTTCTATTTATTTGTGTCGAATTTCTAGAGTTATAAGTGAATCCATTACTCATGAAATAAAACTGATTCCACATTTTATGGTCTCGGGATTTGAAACGAAACTTTTATAATGTCTAGACGTTCTACTCCGTCATCCCAATGAATTTTTCACCCGGTTTAACAAATCATTAATTCCAGACAACGTATTTATCTCTTAAATCCTTAGTTTTCTTGTAGATGAACAATTAGCGGAAATTAAGCGTGGTGTGAGCCGAGAAAATTAATGAATCGAGAAATGTTTGTGAAGTATAGTTTTAAAAATATTTTACGAATTTGAAAATAGAATACGAATCTTAAATTCGCAAAATTGTTATTTTTTTTATTTTAGGTTGCGAAGTAGGTATCGTTATTCAAGAACGTGGAGTGCTTTTGTAAAACTAGCGACTAAAAAAACTATTTTAGAATTCAAAAACGACTTCGCAAAGCGCATATCGTGCATTTTTTTTTTAAATATTGTTAAAATTTACCAAGAAGGACTAAAAATTTCTTATAGGCCCGTAAAATTGTCGAAAATACCTCATTTTTTGACAAAATTTAGTTCAGTAAACAAAGACACGTAAAAATTAGGAACAATTCCGTAGAATTGAATGAAGTACTTTACCCCAGTTGAATGTTAAGGCTTCATTTCCAAAATGGCGTCCAAAGTTCGCAAAATACAGTTTTTCATTTAAACAAAATTAAACTTTTTAGAAAAAAATACTCGTATTGCAATTGTGTTGTTTTTTGAAGACGCTTTTGTGTCGACATTTTTAATAATAATCATGGAAAATTATTATAAACAAGAGTCAGTATTAGACAAAAACACATATAACTGACAGATGTCTTTTAGGTTATGAAACATGAAACAAATGCAAACTCGTAAATAACGGGTAAGTACAACATAATAGTATATTATTCAACGAGCGTATAATGATGGGTATTATTCACGAGGTGAAGTTTACGGCCACGAGCCGCAGGCGAGTGGCCTAAATCACCGAGTGAATAATACCCATTATACGGGAGTAGAATACTATACTTTATCCACGACTACTAAATATTTTTGTTGAAGTTTTTTTTGAAATGTTTCGAAAAACATGGTATGTTAAGAAACAGATATACGACTCGCACAAATGAAGTCGCTGATGGCTCAGTGTAGATGCTCTTTCCCTTCCAACCGCGGGTCCCGGGTTCGAATCCGGTCTAGGAAAATTCACTTTTTTAATTTTTTTTTATATGTACAGCACTGAATTGAAAATATTTAGTGGTTTACACGATAAAATTTTAAAAACGGATTGTTTGTAGCAGAACAATATAATATTATAGCTAAATTAAGGAAGCATCTGACATTAGTGATTAATGACTCATTAATCACTGCCGTGATTAATGGGTATAATAGTTTATAACACGTTATCTTAAATTATAACAGAGTTTCTTAAAGGCAAGGAATTTGGTGTCGCTATAGTTTAACGTACGTGTTATTTGTCTAATGAAAATGAACGGCTTGTTAAATTTACAATTACTTGCCGGTTTTATAAACGCACATCGAAGGTAAGTTGTAAAATTTAAGTAACTTAGGTAAGTATTTATCCTAAAATTATTGTTATGTTAAATCAAACGAAGAAGGATCTAACAAGGAAACTACGCCAACCCGAACTCTCCGATTTCTAATATTTTTATATATGTTGTAGACTCGGTTGTAAAACATAAAAAATTAAATGACATATTTTTTTTATCGGCGGAAAAACATATTTAGGGGGTGAAATACATCCTCAAAGTTCGCCCCCCAAAACAGTTTTTTCTAAATATCTGGTGTTCTAATCAATATTTTGGAATGAAAAAAAATGGAAATTGCTTCTTATAAAAATACAAATGTTTCACATTAGATTCCGTGTTTGGAGGTTGCTACCCTTATTTTTTATTTCAGAAAAACTATATTTTTCAAACATTTTTTATATATAAAAAATTCATATTTGTTAAAAAAAATAAAAAATATGATTTATGTAAACAAATTGACAAAATTAAGTTCTCTTTTTAGGGGGTGAACAACCCTCTAGTGTGCTAATAATGTCTGTACATACTGTACAATTAGAATTAACGTTGCAAAATAACCCCCAAGTAACCCCCTAGTGAGCGAAAAATGTCTTTACTTTTTCTCTAATCATACGAATAATTTTATCTCTTGGTCTAAAACGGATTTAAACGGATGCAAACTACCCCTGATGTTCACCCCCAAAAACAGTATTTCCGTGATATCTCGGGTTCTAATAAATATTTTGGAATGAAAAATAGATGTTTCACAAAAAAAGAATTAAAAAGTATACTATCTGATATTCTCTAGAAATTAAAATTAGGAATGTATACTCACATTATACACGAGAAAAAAAGAGAAATAAATAATTGATTCAAGTAAAAAATTAAACCAACCATTAATCAATACCATTAGCTCTGTTCATTTTAAAAGAAGTTTGCAACACTTGACATTATGTTCTGTACTTTTTGATATAAAACTTTCTGTTTATACTGATTTAAGGAGGATTATTAAAATTTAACAGAAATATTTATTAAGAATCCAAAAATAAAAAGAATATTGGTGGCTCGAATTTTAAATTTTAAGCACGAAGCTTTGATACTTCAAAAACAGACAGTAGAAAAATAAATATTGGGTACTTGTTTCTTTCTGCGGGAAAATGTATTGAAGAGTGAAGACCATCTTTAATGTTCATACCCGAAAACACATTTTTGTATATATCTTGTCCTCTATTGGCCCTATCAAACTTTTTTTGATTAAGCAAAATAAAAACGAGTTCTACTCAATAGGACGAGTCACAATTGACTGAATATTGGAGATTGCATCCCCCGGTTAAAATTGTTAAAATTATACTTTATTATTTATTTTCGTAAATTTTCAATAAAATTACAGACTACAGACACCATTTCTCATGAATCATTCGTTCTGCTCAATAGAAATAATTTCCATTTTTTTTTTTCATTCCAAAATATTGATTAAAACCCGAAATACTGTCTTTGAGGGATGAACACCATCGGTAATTTGCATCAGTTTAAATCCGTTTTAGACCAATAGAAAAAATTATTTGTGAAACATCTGTTTTTTTTATAAGAAGTAATTTTCATTTCGTTTCATTCCAAAATATTGATTAGAACCCGAGATGTCACAGAAATACTGTTTTTGGGGGTAGTTTGCATCCGTTTATATGATTAGAGAAAAAGTAAAAGCTTTTTATTTTGTAATGTTAATTCTAATCGTATAGACATTTTTCGCTCACTAGGGGGTTGTTCGCCCTCTAAAAAGAGAACTTAATTTTGTCAATTTGTTTACATAAGTTATATTTTTAATTTTTTTTAACAAATATGAATTTTTTATATATAAAAAATATTTGAAGAATATAGTTTTTTGAAATAAAAAATAAGGGTAACAACCCTCAAACACGAAATCACTAATGAAACATCTGTTTTTTTATAAGAAATAATTTCGCATGTTGTTTTATTCCGAAATACTGAGTAGAACTCCAGATATTTAGAAATCTTCTGGCTTTTCGAAGCGATATGTCCGATCGGCTGCCATTGGAGTTCCTGAGGCGTTGCAGTTTCAACGAGGCAGAGCGTATTATTGGAAATCGGTCCCGTTGCAAGAAATTTATGAAGCCAGGGGAATGGCGCTGGTCTCGGTGGAATTTATGATCAATTTGTGTCCTCTTGCGGGAGCAAATCGGAAATTGTAACAATATTGTTCGAGGACTAATGAAAAGAAAATATTTAGAAGGAGAAACAATGTCGGTAGTTTTTCTTCTAAGCAGGGGACTGTGGACCAAACAGCGACCTACTCGATACTGAATGTAATCGATCTGACGAAATTTTCTAAGTTTGGAAATAAAAAGGGTATTTTTTTAATTTCTAAATAACTAAGAGTTGTATTAAACACGTAAATCCTATCAGTGTCTCCTTTTTTTTAGAATAAGCAAGTTGTACTTAATTATATATCTATAATTTTTTTATATACATTATATTGGGAATTAAATTAGAATCAATATCACTCGGTCATCGT